ACATTTTTAAAGACCTTATAAATATTACAAGTTGAAGGTATAAACACAAACTTAGCCGTAGTTGAGTTGGATAAGGCGCTGGCTTTGATGAGAAAGGGAGGGGGTTCGAATCCCTCTGTGCGCAAGATGGAGCCTTTTCAACATTTTTCTTGTCTTTTTCAGATTATCGATAAATTGACGAAATATAAATGGTCCCTATCTCATAAAAAGAGAATTGATTTTCCCACTTCTATTTTGTCCACTTACACTCTCTTTGTTGGAAATTGTATGTCATCACTCCTCTTTAGTCCACTTATATTCTCTTGTTGGAAATTGTATGTTATAGTAAAATTTTATTTTATTTTTTTAAACAAAAGGGAGGGTAAGATGACAAAAAAAGGAGTGAACAAAAATCAACACCCCATAAAAAATGGTATATTTTATTCTAATCCCTTAGGTTTGACAATTGCGATTTAAAACCTCATGTTTAAAACGTTGCAGTGTCACTCGACATCATGTAGATGTACCATGTTGTCGTACTACCTTAGTATTCCATAATCACTCTGTATAAGGTGCAATGTCAATCTTTCAACCAGTGACGGATCTATTAAGGCGTAAGGAGGTGCAGCTGCACTTCCCCTGTCCAGAAAATCACCTAGAGATGCCGGAATTTGCCCCTTTAATGGTACTCACCATTTGTTTTATTAAAGGCCTCAAAGAGGCTTTCTTGTTTTGGTAGTGAAAAATTGCATCTATTATGACAAGACTCCTTCAGATGTGTGTCTAGTTAGAATTGCATACTTCTTTTTCTGGCATAGAGACACTACGGAAGGAAGAAGATGCGCGAGGAAGAAGGTGCACCAGGAAGAAGATGTGTGTTGTTTATTTTGGGTTTCTCATTAAAACGATGTCGTCTTAGTATATAAGTTTCATTTAAAATGAAACAATGTGCTTGCCCAAACCTTCTTAGGATATAAAAATTCATGTTTGGTGGAACAGTCACCGAATTAAAAAGATAAAGAATGGAACGATGGATGCTCTCTCATAATCATATTGTTAGGTTTTGTTATTTTAAATGCAATGGTGCCTTTTGTATGTAGTAAAACCTTTATTAATTTTTTTGGAACATCTTCATTATTCGATATTACATTAGCCTAGCCTAATATGAAAACTTAAAGGTATTTCTTAGAAAGAAAAAAAATTCATATTATGAAAGGCTTATGCCTCAATATCTCAAGGCTTACACCTAATCTTAAGCCACCTGAAAGGTATCGTCCTTTAAAATTTTGGTATGAATTAGGAGTCTGAGGCTTGTGGAAGGGTACAAATGGAGGCCATGTACATGTAGCTACGAATTTTGGATGGTATTAGTTGGTAATTTTATTTTTTTTAAGCTTTTAGCCTTTCAAATTTTGCCCCTTTTCCAAAAATTTCTTGGGTCTACCAGTGCTTTCATT